GTGTGTGTGTGTGTATGAGATAGAGAGAGTGTATGTGTGTGAGAGAGAGAGAGAAGGAAAGAGAGAGAGAGAGAGAGAGAGAGAGTGTGTATGTGAGTGTGTGTGTGTATGTGTGTGTGTGTTTGTTAGTGAATGAGAATGTGCATGCATGTATGTGTGTGCGTTTGTGTCTGTGTGTGTGCGTTTTTTGTTTGTTTTGTGAAGGAATGTGTGTATGTGTGTGTGTGTGTGTGTGTGTGTGTGCGTGCGTGCGTTGAGAAGTACATGAGTGTGTATGCATTGACCTTGCTGCGGCACACTTCTCTTTGTAAAGATCATTTGATCAACCTATGTTAACTACATGTATCTTATCATAATTTGCTGAGCTGTTAGAAAGAGTTGTTAGCTCCAGTGGTTGCCACGCGTAAATGCAGTGCAAGTGACCTTGTTGTGAATCATTCATATGGGGTTTTTGAACTTAAGTTTTGTGGGGAATTTAATTGCTGTCCACCGATCATGCTTCACCCTCTTGGTGATCTACATGAAAACTGAAGATGTGATGTCAGAGGGCCTAAGTAATTACACCACAGACCACAGCACAGTGTAACTGCATACTGCCATTGAAGACAATAAATGAAAAAGCAGCTGCTCGTCATTGTAAGGCATCCTGCCAGCCTTTTAACTTATCACAGACCCATTCTGATTTCACTTCAGGCACTGAAGTTTATACGCACACCAGAGCTACGCCCTTACATCATCTTCATCAAATCACCCTCTCTTGACCGCATGAAAGTGACCCGGACAGAAAGACGTGCTCGGAGCACTTCCGGGGATGCCACGCCCCCTCTCTCTGTAAGTGAGGGCAGACAAATGTCATTTGAACGGAGAGATTCAAATTTGCAGGTGATTCCTAGGAGCTTGCTGTTACAAGGGAGTGATTTTTGTGACTTCTTTTGGTTTGTGTTAGTCACAAAGAGTGTATCATGTGAATTATTTTTGATATACAATTCAAGCAATGCTTTTGTTGGTATGAAAAGTTTTTGTTACTTTAATTTTTGCAGTCTCCGCTTTTATAATTATGATTATTACATGCATGATGTAGAACTTGGCTTGAGTATGCTTGAATTCAGACATAATTATCTGTAAGAGTACATGAGCCTTTCTTTTTCACTAATGTCCATGGCTAAAGTACATTTAACAATGGGAAATAAACTTCATTTGTTCTTTTTCCGACGAAGAGAAAAGATAAAGGTTTTGACTTTGCAGAAGAGAAGAAAAAACTAATCTTGAAAAGAATATCTTCTGTAGATTAAGGCATTTTAGGGGGCTTTTAAAAAAAAAAGTATTTCAAGCACTTAAAGCTAGGATAGAAGCTGGAGCAATTTCTGGAGAAATATTTCCCTGCTGAAAAGGCTGTGATGATACTTTCACAAAACATAGTAACAGCTTTGTATTCTTGACTCAAGTTATCATTTCTTATGATAGAGGACAGAATTCCTATATTTCTGCAACAATTTAAGCTGACCTGGTTATTTGCTTTTAATTTTTTCATTTGTATGAGACATAAAAACTGCTTGCTTAATATTTTGCTTCAGTTAAAATTTGTATTCTTGGTTTTAGACGCATGCATATACAGTGGAACTCGGATTCAACGAGGTCTCCGGGCCTGACCTAAAATTTCATTGAATCCGAGTCTTCGTTATAGCAAACGCAAGGTTTTGTGTAGATAATTACAGGCACTGAGCATGTAATGTGTAAAGAGAAGTCACAAATAGTGCCTGAAATGCCTGCATATTATGAGCTGTGTAAAGAGAGACCGATTCGTTCAAATGCACACGTCAGTGTCATCTCGATTGTTTACCAAAAAGTTGTGCAGAGCCTAGCATATGGCAACTTTTGATTCCATAGACCAGCGCACAATTCATTATGTAGATCTACCTCAAAACTAGCTTATCATTGTAATAATGATCAGTTGCTGAGGGGGAAAAAAGACTGTGATGCGTTTGTATCTGCGACGTTCAACGCCTGGACCGCTAGAGGGCCCCCCCCCCCCTCCCCGATGCACACAAACACAGTCACTCGTGTGCAGGCCGCCAATCCCACCCCGACACAAGCCAGAGTAGACACGCGCACGTGCCAACCACGCATGTGTTGTTATGAAAAAAGACCGCTGATTGGTTGCATGCAATCGGCTAATTGAACAATGGTTCACGATGCAGGTGCAATGGATGGTTTCCGGGAATAGATAAAGTTCGTTGTGGGAGAAAAATTATCGAAGCCACATCTATGGGGGGCAGTTCACCCTGGAAACGACCTCGTTGAATCCGAGCTCGCTGATTTAAGTGCTCGTTGAATCCGGGTTATATTTTAATATAATTGATTTTAAAGAAGAATAAAAATGGAGAATCTATCTCATCTCGTTGAATCTGAGTTCTTGTTGAATCCGAGCTCGTTGAATCCGAGTTCCACTGTATGGACATCATGTTTTTTCTATAAAACTTGAGAGCTGACTTTTTAAAACTGAAAATGTAGATAATCAATTCATTCAAGCAGAACAGATTAGACAATTTAAAAGTAACTGTTTTCTTTTGTGTGTTAGCTCTTTCCTCACCAGACCATTTTCCTCACTGTGTCCAAGCCCTTTTAGCAAACTTTTTTTCTGTCTGATTGTAATTTTAAAAAATACAATTTCTCTTAAATTTATTGAGAAAAACCCAGATGTGTTATAGATAAAGATGCTGGTCGAAATCCATTTTCTATCTGTCAGTACAGAGAAAAAATCTTTAGCATAAAAAAGTGATTTGTGTGGATCCGAAGGCAAGTGTTGTGATTTAATTCAGGTTTCA